AGGGGTGATCTAAAATACATAGCTGGGAGAGCTTCCCCAGCCCATCTCTGCCAGGCTTTGGCACAGCCTGACAGCTGGATGGGGCAGAGATGCAGGAATTTTGGGGCTAAGCATCTTTGTGTTCCTTACAATACTAAATGCATCCCTGCGTGCCCACCTTTGCACGCCCCTGAGCCCCATCCGAGAGGTGTCACCCTTGCCTAGGCAAATGTTCCCTCCCAGGGCCGGGTCTCGGACATAGCAATGCGGTGCAAAAGTAACTCGACCACCAGCTTGCAGCCATGCGGCTGGTGTCTCTGCTCTGCAGGACGGAGCTCTTCGTGTTGCGTGGGCACGTGGCCGAGAGCCACGACGATCCATGTCTGTTGCCCCCGTGCATTCGTCTGCCAGACCTGTCCCTGGCTTGCTCGGCGGCTACAAGCAATCATCGTCACCCCTCTGTGCCTCAGTTTCCCTGCCTGGAAGCTGGACTTGCTGCTTCTCCCTGTGCCTGGGGTAATGTGAGGCTTATGAAAGGGGATCATATCAAGCGCTGTGCTAGTGGTCACCCCCTGCCTCACTGTCCACATCCCCAGGTGGCCCCGTTTGACTGCAGGTGCCAGGGGGAGTGACTCACTCCCAGCTCAGCCTCCCGCGGACCAGGCAGGACTAAGCATGTCTTGTGGGGCCTCAGAGACTGTTTATCCCATTGCTTTCTTTCATCCTCTCCACCCAGTGAAGCACCACTGCAGCCTCTTTCCATGCGCCCCTTCTCTAATGGGCACCTTTCCTTCTCCAGCTGGGTTAAAGGAGCTGGATGAACAGCCTAGGAGATACTTTAATGGGACAGGGGATGCAAATTAGGGCTCCTGAGAGAGCAATTTAGAATCTACTAACTAGGGCAGGTCAAGGACTAGTCTAGATTGCAGCAGTGGGTGACCAAAGGGGCTTGCTTGTGTGAGCCTGGAGAGCTGGGAGGTTGTTTCCTAGCCGCCATCTGGCTCTTTCAGTGGCCTCCACGTGCTCCCATTTCACTGCCAGCCTCTGAGCATCGTGGCAGCATTGCCATTTGGCTTGCAACCCCCTCAGTTAATGCAGCGCCAGGGTCAGCTCCGCAGAGGAGGTGTGATACGGGCCAGGCTTTCGGTGAGGGGGTCAACTGAGCCTGACCCCATTCTTACTAAGCAACAGGGGGAATCCAGAGCAGGCCTGACTCTGGGCAGGGCGTAAAGCAACCTGCACGAGACATAAGCCAGGTCAAAGTCCAAGGTGTGAGTTGCCTCTATGCCGAGGTGTTGCCGGCGAGCTTGGAATCGAGCCGTGTGTTTCTGGGATGCTCCAGCACCTTCCCGGGGATGGACCCAATAGGCAATTAAATGCATTTCCTTAGGGACCTAGAGGGACACCGGGCAGCTGTGCTGGGGGTGGAGGAGACAGGGGGCTGCTGGCAGAAAGACCCGGCCTAGAGGTGAGCAGAGCGTCTCTATCTGAGCACCGAATTCCAGCTGGACTCGAACCCGTCGCTGGAAAGCCCGAGGGGGCATCTAGCCCTGAAGATGCCTCCCTCCCAGCTCCTGACTTGCTGGTGTCCTGTGCGGTCGGGCCCAGCCTCGAAGACCTTCCAGTGCAGGTCACTGGCGGTGCGATCTTCGCGGCCTCGTTTGAGCGCTCGTGTGCCGGAGGGGCGTGGAGGGACCCCCAGTGCTTCCTCCCCGCCTGCCCCCACGAAGGTACTTGGGGCTTCCTTTGGTGCAATGATGGATGGTGCTGAGCTGCGGGCATGCATCATTGCGGGTGGATTATGCCGCCTTGCTGCCCCTTCTCCGTGGGGCTCCATCTGGTGCGAGCAGGGGCACGGGGGTGCAAAGGCAGTCCGTGTCATGGAGCAAAGTACATCAATAACAGCAAAGGAAGGATGTCCCAAAGGAGAAGGAGGAGGATCTAGAGGCAAGAGGCACAGTGGCTGGAAGGGGAGGGGATGGAGGCAGGCCGTCACTGCTGGCTCTGCCACTGATTCACTGTGTAACCTTAGGCAAGTCACTTCCCATCTCTATGCCTCACTGTCCCCAGCCTTTGGGACACAGCACTGGCCTCCCTAAAGGGCTGAGGAGAAGGATGCATAAGGATGAGGATCCCAAGCTGGCATCAGGGCCAGTTCAACCCAGCTACAGATGGTGCAAGTGACTCTCTAGGGCACGTGATGAACGTAGGATGAGAGTAGACTGTCTAGGACGAAGGTAGAACTAGCAACCTCCCTCCCGGACGTGTCTGCAAGGGCCCAAGCGATCAGGGAGGAGGGAATGGACCTGTGGGGGGGTCAAAATCAGCCCGAGACAAGCAGCGGAGAAGAGAGAGTGAGTGAGGGGGAGTTGTCCACAAAGACCAGTAACAAAGCGCATTTGGGACTGGAGGGGATGCTTGACGCTGGCATAATCTACCAGGGAGCCCTTTCCCCCGCTCTTTGCTGCTGCGGCATTGGCGTAACGGCCCTGTCTCTTCTCTCCCCAGTGTGCGGACGGCCCGTTCGCCCCTTGCCCGGGATCATCAAGCGCATCATCGGCGGGCGCAACGCGGAGCCCGGCTCCTTCCCTTGGCAGGCCCTGATCGTGGTGGAGGACACGTCCCGGGTGCCCAACGACAAGTGGTTTGGCAGCGGGGCCCTGCTCTCCGACTCGTGGGTGCTGACGGCGGCCCACGTCCTCCGCTCCCAGCGCCGGGACAACACGGTCATCCCGGTGTCCAAAGAGCACGTCACCGTCTACCTGGGCCTCCACGACGTGCGGCGAAAGATGGCCGCGGTCAACCGGACGGTGGAGAAGATCGTCCTCCACGCGGGGTTCGACATCCAGAACTACAACCACGACATCGCCCTGGTCAAGCTGAAGGAGAGGGTGGCCATGGGGCCCTACGTCATGCCCGTCTGCCTGCCTCAGTTCGAGCACGAGCTGGAGGGGCCGCACCCCAACACCTTGGGTCTCGTGGCCGGCTGGGGCATCTCCAACCCCAACATCACCGTGGACGAGATCATCAGCTCGGGCATGCGGACCCTGTCCGACATCCTGCAGTACGTCAAGCTGCCGGTCGTCCCGCACGCCGAGTGCAAGGCAAGCTACGAGTCCCGCTCGGGGAACTACAGCGTGACCGAGAACATGTTCTGCGCCGGCTACTACGAAGGGGGGAAAGACACGTGCCTGGGCGACAGCGGGGGAGCCTTCGTCATCCAGGACCCGGGCACCCAGCGGTGGGTGGCCCAGGGGCTGGTCTCGTGGGGCGGGCCGGAAGAGTGCGGGAGCAAGCAAGTGTACGGGGTGTACACCAAAGTGTCGAACTACGTGGACTGGGTGGAGGAGAACGTGGGCGCCTCTGGGAGGTGGACATTGCCGGACCCCCAGCTGGAGAGATGAGCTTGGCGGAGCTCAGCCAGCAAGCAGGACTCTGGCCGGACTTGGTCACGCTCCAAGCCTCAACCGGTCCCTCCTTCCACGTATCCCGTCGTCCCCATGTGTCCATGCTCCCCCAGTTGGAGCCCGCTCCAGCCCCAGCCCCAGCCCTGATGGCAGCAGAGAGGCCACGAGCTAGGGGAGTGATGGAGACAGAACGACCCCTTTCATCTGGACACGTGGCGTCCCTTCGTGCCAGATCCCTCTGCTCTCTCTCCATGCCCGCTTTGGTGGGGAAGCCCACAAGATGCTCATCGCGCCACCTTCGCTGGAGCGGAGCCGCAGGAGATGCAGGCGGAGCGTGTTTTCTCTGCAGCATCCACAGCCATTTTTAGACCCAGCCCTCCCTTCCTGCCCTGCCTCCCCGATGCACCGCGCAAGGAGCTCCGGGCGGGTGTTGAAAACCATTGACAGGCCTGTCTCTGTCCCATTCCTCCTGTCATTTTTCGGCTAGGTTTAGTGGCTGGCTCAGAGCTAGCTGGCCTGATTCTAATCTCCTTTGCAGCGGTGTCAACCCAAAGCCACTCCACTTCTCCAGTCACTCCAGGATCTGCCCCAGTGCAGCTACCAAACCACAGAATTGAATGGCAGGTTTGGAAGGACCCTCAGGAGATCACATCTAGTCCATCCCCCTGCTCAGGGCAGGATCATCCCTGGCTAAACCAGGCCAGCCAAGGGTCTGGCCAAGCTGCTCTTGAAAACTTCCAGGGCTGGAGACCACCTGCTCAGTCAGAAAGTTTCTCCTCATCTCCACCCTGCATTTCCTCCGCTGCAACTTGAGACCGTTGCTCCTAGTCCTGTCCTAGTTGAAGGCGCCTATCAAATCCCCCCTCAGTTGTCTCTTCTGCAGGCTAAAAATCCCAGTTCCCCCTCCTCTCCTGACAACTCGTGTTTCCCAGGCCTCTTCTGTGCAAAGCCTGTTTTACCAGATGCAGTGAAAGCTTTCCCCGTGCACGGCATTCAGTCTTCTTGCCCCTCTTACCCCAACCTGGGTCTTTCCTGAGCTGGGGCAGAGCAAATGCCAAATGCCATTTGGCATTTGAGACCCAGCTTCTGTGGTCAGAGACAACAAAGTCAGAGGGAGAAGGCAGGCCCCAGAGACAGCAGGTGACTTGACCAGTGCCCCACGGTGAATCTGTGGCAGAGACGGGCACCAAGCCCAGCTCTTCAGCCCTGTGGTTCTTTTTCTCCCTGCTGTTTGATCCTGCCTCTCTGCTCTCCTAGGGGCCCAGGGAGCTTAGCAAGCAGGCTTCCCCTTTCTTCCCTCTCAGCCCAAGGCCCGGGCTGCAAAGCGATGCGCTGAGATTCACCTTGGTGGATGCACCTGCAGTTCAGCGAAAACCCCCGTATTAGCAAACCACGCCAGCGAGACGGAGCAGAGCCCTGCAAGGAGAGAGGGGGAAGGTGGTATGCTCACACAGGCATGCACTGAGGTGCCTTCCCTCTCCTGGTTCACTGCGCTGGCACAGGCCTTTTTCATGGGCATTTGCAAGCCTGCCCTGGGCCTCTGGGTGTTACGCCCCGTGGCATCTGCTTTGAGCCTGGAGCTTTCTCTGGGAAGCTCCCAGCATCCATCCGGCAGCCGGTGGGCCTGGAGTGGGGCTGCTGCCAGCCTGACGGCCCCTTCTGCCTTCATCATCTCGGACCCCAGGAGCCAGATCTATCCCTGGCTTTCCCCTTTGAAGAGCTCTGCTCCACCAGCCCCTACCCCGGGGTGAAATGAGGGGGCACTTGCCGAGAGCCCAGCTTGCCCAGAGCCCAGTCCCCTTAGTGACCCAGCTCACGGAGTCCTAACATTTTGGTGGGGGCTTGGAGAGGTCAATTCTTCCCCTTCCTTTCTTCTCATCTCCTCCCCATCACCTTCCCTCCCCTCTCTCGTCCTCCCCCTCCCTGGTCAGAGAGCAAAGACAAGGGGTCTGCATTTGCCCCGTGGGGTTGTATTCACTTACAGGACCAGAAAAGTCTCCTTCTGAGTCCAGGAGAAGCCTAGGTGCCTCCCCACTACACCTGACACTCCTCACCGCTGGTGTATCGCACCCTGGGCATCTCTCCAAGTCAGAAAAGATGCCCCGTGTTGTCTTTGCACACTTGCCAAGCCCCTGACACACTTCCATATCGAGAGGGCACTTGCTCCATTGGACACCTGCAGCTCCCACTGGACCGAACCTCAGTCTAACTGGGTTTTACCCCCTCCGTGGGAGTCTCCCCGGAGTCAGGAGCAAGACCCCCTGCCCCTTGAGGCTGCCAGCACCGAAACCAGGACCGTGCTGCCCAAGCCATACCTTTATGTTACCCGCGTGCCATGAACTGTACTCCGTTTGCCTTCGCGTAGCTAGACAATATGATATTGTTGATATATTTTTGTACGGCCTCCTGTCAAGCGCCTCGTGTTTCGTATGTACGGTCTGTATTATCCTTCCTGAGAACCAAATAAAGCCCCTTGTGTGGATAAAGCCAGCGTCCGAGGATGCCATGGCGGGGAGCACTTCAAATGGACAAACTGCAGCACAGCAGACCGGGGGTGGACGCTTGTTGGTGGCAGACCCCCACCCCAACACCTCGTCCCGTCCTACAACCACGTTATCCTGCCTTCTGCACAGCCCACCCCCCGAGGCATAGCTCTGCTATGATATGAGCTCAGCTCAGAGCACCGCAGCCGCCCCCCTTCTACATCATATCCATCTCCCCCAAACCCCAAAGTAGAAATAATCCCTAAAAGCATAAAGGATGATGAGAAGAGGGGATCCACCAATGTCCAGCCCTTGCAAGCGCAGGGAATGGGTCGTATCAGGGTGCATCTCTCTGATGCCAATGACCATGCCTGCCAGAGAGCTCACATCAGAGTAACACTGTGTCTGGGGGGAGTATTGGTGAGTTTTGGGGGTGAGTATTGGTGTGCTAATGGACTGGCTGACGCTGGCTGATGACAGCCTTTCAGGGGCTCAACTGACGGTATCGGAGCCATTCCTGGGGGAGCAAGGGGCAGAGGAACGCGTGCAAACCTAATGTGAACAGGCCACCGTGGTAATGCAGGGGGGAAGAGAGAGATAAAAGGTGGATAAAATGGGGTGCCTTCTGGTTTCTGCGGGGAGCTTCGAAGCTCCTTTTCCAGCCCTCCAAAGCAAAATGAGGTTGGTTAGGGTTTGGAGCAGCCCCGCGAAGGGAAGGGTTGCTCTGTCCCTGGTCCCCTCCTTGCAGTTAATAGGGCTGGCTGTTCCTTCTTAACGGGACAAATTGCTGGGCATTTCTGAATGTCTCCACACCTTCTCCTCCCTATGCCGAGCCAGATCTAAGAATGCATGTGTAGGTGCCTAAGTTCCCACTGGGAACTATTTCGATTGCTGTCCGCTACCCTGTGTGCCCGAGTAACACCCAAGCCACGGCTCTCAGGGGTTGTCCCAACAAATCTAAGGATCATGGGCTGCAGAGGGTGTGACTCCAGGGACCCTTTATCACTGGCCCCCCAGTTGGGTGAGGCTCATAAATAGGGTCTATGTTGCTCCATGATGCTGGCATGTAGGTCCATCGCACTTAGTCTGAACATGCGCAGAGATGTGTAGAGAGCTCACATCAGCCAGTGGGATGCAGAGCCGTGAAGGCAGATGTGAAAGGTCTTTGGGGAACGGCTGCAGCTCAGCTGGAGGTGAGATTTGTCCTGCGATGCTTTGCACTCGAGTCCAGTTTCTCAGGCCCTAGCTTGCTCTTCACTCCAGTTACTTTGGAAATCTCCCAGCTTTACCCAAGCAAACAACCAGTCTCAGGATCTGCCTCCACTTGCAAGCTCCATGTCTCAGAGTGGTTCAGCAAGTGCCTCTGATGCCTGACCTTGTGCCCTGTGGTTTCAGTGTGCGGGAAGCCAAAGTTCTCCAGAAGTTTGCTGGCCCGGATTGCCAATGGACTCTACGCCCAGAAAGGGGTATCTCCATGGATCGCCATGCTCTATAGGAACGGGATGCCCTTCTGCGGAGGCTCACTGCTAGGTAAGAAAGTCCTTGCGCAGGCAAAGCTGGATGCAGCGGGGAGCTGAAGACAGGAGGTGTTATGATTCAGTGCAGAGGAGGATGAAGAGGAAAAGGACAAAGCCCTGTTGACTCTGCATGCTGCAGGACAGAGTAGACTCATAAAATCATAGATAATGGGGGTGGAAGGGAGCTCAGGAGGTCACATCCAGTCCAACCCCCTGCTCCAAGCAGGACCAGCCCCAACTACATCATCCCAGCCAAGGCTTTGTCTAGCCAGGTCTTCAAATCCTCCAAGGATGGAGACTCTATAAACTCTCTGGGTAGCCTGATCCAATGCTTTACTACCCTTCTCATGAGAAAGTTTTTCCTAACCTTGCTGGAGAAGCAGCTGGAGTAGAAACTCACTGTTTCTCTCCGAGACTGAGTTCGATCCTGTGAGTGAATTGGGAGGAATAATGCAGTTGTGTTGTGCTATAGGTAATATCTCCCTGCAGCTTCGCAAAGCAGGACTTACTTGAACGGGACAAGAAAAGTTGGATCCAACACTGAGGGTCTCTCCAGCTACTTCAAACGCAGCCTTTAACACCCAGCCCGGCCACCCGCAGAGAGGAAGGAAAGAAATGTTGACTCAAAGTTTTAATCCAAGAAAAGCATCTCTAACAGCAGATCTCCCCATCACGTGGCCCAGCAGGGTCAGAAATAGGAGCAATGGGCAGTTCAAAGGCAGGGTGAAACCCAGGAGCATCCGCACCGGTAGAGAGGAGTGAACTGCCCCCAGATATTGCATTAGCTATGTGGCGGGCCAGTAGGGGGCGCTCCTGCGTTGAGCCGCCCACCTCCCTGCTCCCGACCACCTTCCAGGCTCCGAGTGCCTCCCTTAGGGTGCCTCCCGTCCGGCCGACCCCTTCCCCGGAGCACACCCGCTAGCCTGGGGTTCCCGCTGCCACCATCCAAGGCTCTGGACTCACTTCTGGCTCTGCGCACCTTGGAAAACACAGGCCTGATCGTCCAATGGGTGCTAGACCCAATACAAGCACTTGGGGCACTTCCCCAAGTCAGGGGCTGATTAGGAAGCCTCCCTCAGTCCACCGACCTAAGGGGCCTCCTTGGCATAATTTAGACCCACCCCTCAATAAGTCTCCACACC